ATTATTGAAATTATTTATTTAATTAAAAATAGTGGATGCAGACAATCAGAAATTTATTAAAAAAATCCATAATTTAAAATAAATTAATGTTTTTGCGTTCATACTGTACAACTGTTAATAAAAATTAGTGCCATTTTTCGGATTTGAAATTAAAACAATTTCAAGTTGAAATTTTCAAAATGGAAATTGTCTTAAAAAATGTAAAAATATTTTTTCCTGAGATTTACAATTTTGTATTAACTTTTTCTTCAGATGTGTAATTTCTATACATCGTATAAGTAGTAGTTTTTATAGTACCTACCTTGGGTCGTTTTTGTACAAACATATTTATTAGTGTTGTACATTATTTTTTATTAGTTGCATATTGCATTAGTATATTGTTTGTACTTTTGTATATTAAAAATTATTCGTTAAATAAACTATTTAACATTTAAATCAAATTTTTATCTATTTTTTGTGAAAATATTTGAGAAACAATGCTGCTGTAACAAAAACCAAAAATTTGATTCAGTAATGAGTGCTATAAGATTTTTCAAAAAAAAATATTGAATGTTAAATAATAAAGAATTAATTGTAAAATTTGAATTGAAAACGTTGATCTTGAAATAATTGACTGAATGAAATATCAGTTAAAATATTATGCTTCATTTTCAAAAAAATATTACAGAGTAATATTCCACTGATTCCATCAAAATTAATTTTTCAATTCAAACTTGGTCACCAATAAAATTTAATTACAAAATAAGTGGTGTTTGAATTTGGCGCCTGTAATTGTATACACTGCACCTTGAGTTCCTATAGGCAGAGCCGTTTAATACGTAATCATTGGCGCGTGAGCAGTAACCTATTAATGAAAGCAACCAAATCGCTTCCCTCGCCATCTCTGATTTCCATCAACAGACGCTGCCATTAAAGTTACGCCCTCACAGGTCATAATTGGAGTTACAAAGGGTAAGAGATTTTTTAATTTTGGTGTAAAAGTGTTAATAGTTTCGGTGAAAACGATACTGTTTTCGAAAAACAGGTACTTTCATTGTGATTCTGAACACCTTCGGTTTTTTATATCGGCCTTAATCCGCCCTAATTTGATGCAACGAACATGAGTGCTCTTCCCACGAAATTCCATATTGATGACAGCGCCAACCGTGCTAATTTCATGAAATTTTTGTTGAAATGCCCCCTACACCTAAGTCTGTTAAGTACAATTTTGGAACAAAATAGCTAATTTATATTTTTTCAAAAAATATGGACGGTATTAATAATAATTCCCTTTTAGTGACCACTGGGCGTCTCATTTTTATCGCGTCTGCGGATAAAATTGTAAAATGGCGTCTTATTGCTTGATGGCTTTAAGTTTGTTACACGTCAATATTGAAATTAGCTGAAAATATTTCAGATAGAACATAACAGTTTAAAGAGCAAAATGTAGGATACCTAAGGTTTTTAAATTCCATAGTGAAGCATTAGTAGCTTTGTATCGTTTAACTTCTTTTTATAATTTACTCCCAACTAAATAGAAATGAATGCTTATTATTGAAAGTGATTTTTCAAAATGTTTCTAATGGGTATGTGTTATAGTATTAATTATACAATTTTAATTTACTCAAGTGTCTGTTGATTGTGATAAGTTTTTGTTTATAGTGCTAATTTTGTATGTTGATTTTCTAACCCTAGATTGTGTTTATCAAAGAAGAAATTTACATCTTAATAGGAATTCAGAGACAATTGTGAAATATCTTGAAGAGCCCAGGTAGCACCATTAAAAAGTGTGGTCTGTGATTTATCTAATGAATTCTGAATAATGAGTTCAACATTCCAACCGAGTGTTGTAAAGTTAGAAGACAATTCTGAAAATGTCACTGAAATACAGTCATACCTGGAAGGGTTCCAGAAAGAAATAGAAAATGGAGATGGAACTATCCAAACAGTGCAAGGTAATTTTTATACACTCATAATGTTTTGTGAGACTTAACCTGCTAAATTGTAGAAATTGATGATGAAAATGATGGAGAGAATGAAGAAGGAACATATTTTGTTGATCAAGCAGGACACTATTACTATCAGGCCAAGGGTGAATCTCAACCGGTTATGACAATGGTTTCTGCTATAAATGGAAGCAGCTCTGAAGAAGCAGATGAGTTCATTATCAATAATGATAATGATGAAGACATTGATGACAGTGAGGATGTAATACAAATCATTACTTATTTTATTTTAGTTTTTCTAATGACACATTCTGATTATTAGCTTCCTGGGGAAGAAGCAGAGAAACATATTTTGATTAATTCAGGCAACAGTTATCAAAAAGTAACAGTTGTACCAGCAGACACAAATACAGGCGAGTTGAGCTATGTTTTAATAGTTCAGAATCCTGATGACATAAAGGAAGGAGAAGAAGACAACATTGATGGAGATCAGGATATGACTGGTAATTGTCTTTATGAAATTTATTTAAAAAATTGCCTCTGTGCTGATTATTAAATTTGGCATATGATCAATGTTTTGCTAATGATTCATAATGTTATAAAATAATTCAATTCCATTGATAAGTAAATTGAACTGTTTTTTGTTATTACACTTGATAGCTATTAATTATACTTAAAAATTACTAAACAATCTTACCTAGATAGTAATTTTACATATAAATACTAGAATGGTAATTTTGAAGTTTTGTTGGGGCAGTTTTTGTAAATTTGAATATTGCACTTTAAATCCATTATAATTTTTCTCCTTTAGTGTACGATTTCGACGAGGCTGAGGAAAGTAGCACTTTGGTGGATTCTGAGGCTGAAGATGACAAATCTAAGATAGTAAAGATTGTTCCACGAAAATCACAAGTGGTTACACAAGCGCATATGTGTAACTATTGCAACTATACTAGCCCGAAACGTTATCTTTTGTCACGTCATATGAAATCGCATTCGGAAGAAAGACCTCATAAATGTAGTGTTTGTGAAAGGGGTTTCAAAACACTCGCTTCCTTACAAAATCACGTGAATACACACACTGGCACGAAACCCCACGCTTGTAAATTCTGTGATGCAGCATTCACCACGTCTGGTAAGTTAACTATTACTTGGAAAATCAAAAATTCTGTAGTATAACTTGAATAAGTCTGTGCTAACAGTTAACCCAGACTAGATGCATTATTTTTAAGCTTCATTTGTCACAATTAGATACTCTGGTTTAGCTTTTTTATTAGAAAAATATTTAAATTTAATACTGTTACTTAACTTACATTTTTGTTTCTTAATTTGTAATTTATACACTTAACATAAGTAACAAAAAGGCGCCTATTATTGCTCGTATTATTATTATTTATGACATTAATAGCAGTTATTTGGAACATAGAATAGCAATTCTATTAATTTACTGTTAGTTAGTGTTACCCTCCAAGGTAAATAATAATTTGTCTTGATATATTCTATTTCCTTTTGTGTTTATTACCTCACATTGTTTTATTTTAAGGTGAGCTGGTTCGTCACGTTCGTTATCGTCATACTCACGAAAAACCTCACAAATGTCACGAGTGCGATTATGCAAGCGTGGAACTTTCAAAATTGAAACGCCATATTCGTTGCCACACTGGCGAAAGACCATATCAGGTTAGTATAGATCAGTAGGTTATAAAAAAAATTGTATAAATGAATAAGTACAATTTATAGTACCCTTTTTTTTGTATTTTTTCAGTGTCCGCATTGCACCTACGCCAGTCCTGATACATTCAAGTTAAAACGCCATCTTCGTATTCACACTGGGGAGAAACCCTACGAATGTGATATATGTCACACAAGATTTACGCAGTCTAACAGCTTAAAAGCGCACAAATTGACACATAACAGTAAGTTTTAAAGAAAGACTAGCAGCATTCACATAATAGTTTAATTTGACATTTCGTGTTTTATTATTAGTATTCCTTTTGACTTCAAAATTCTGTGATACAATTTTTGTAATTAACTGAGTCAGAAAATGTTTTATTGAATCTTAGTAACGTTGTATGTCTTGCTTTTTCCAGTTGGAGATAAGCCCGTCTTCCAGTGTGAGCTCTGCCCCACTACGTGTGGACGAAAAACAGACCTTCGCATTCACGTGCAAAAATTACATACTTCGGACAAACCTCTTAAATGTAAAAGATGTGGGAAATCATTTCCAGATCGTTACAGTTACAAGGTGAGTCAAATTAATCAGAAATCATAATTATTGTACCCTTTTGTCTCTCTATGTCGATTAGCTTTTAATTAATTAATCAATTGTATCATTGTCTTTTTTAGCTTCACAACAAGTCTCACGAGGGTGAAAAGTGTTACAAGTGTGATTTGTGTCCGTATGCGTCGATTTCAGCACGCCATCTAGAGTCGCACATGCTAATTCACACCGACCAAAAACCGTACGTGTGCGACCAGTGTGACCAATGTTTCCGTCAAAAGCAGCTCTTAAAGAGACACCAAAACTTGTATCATAATCCGGCATATGTGCCTCCTGCGCCACGTGAAAAGACACACGAGTGCCCCGAGTGTGGGCGTGCATTCCGTCACAAGGGCAACCTCATAAGACACATGGCCATTCACGATCCTGATTCCGCAGTTCAGGAAAAGCAACTCGCGCTTAAACTCGGTAGACAGAAGAAAATTCAGATGATTGACGGACAACAGGTAATTTTGAGTTTCATAGGCTGTATGTAAAACAGTGGAAAAATTTGATAAAAGTTACCTTTTTTGATAACCTTTCTGGAATTGTGTGCGACATGCGTTTCTCTTTGATTTCTAATTTGTCATAATAAGTAAATATTAAGTTAAATTATAGCATTCAAATAAGGGTGTAAAATTGTATAGTTTATATGTTTTTGTTTCTTTGCAGGTGGAAGTGATGCCCGTTGTAGGATCGTCTGACGAAGAGGATGAGGGTGACATGATGGCCGTAGAAGGTTCTGATGGACAACAGTATGTAGTACTGGAAGTTATACAGCTTGCAGATGGGGAAGAGCAGGCTATAGTAGCAGGGGATGGCACTTCGGATTTATTGGGCGACTCGATACTACCAGATCATGGTATGTTTTTTGTTTGTAATTATACAATTATTTTGTTGGCATTGAAGTGTCTGTTAAATAGAAGCGTTTCCTAATATTCTTAGACCACCGTTTTCATTTAAAAATTTGGTTACAGATTTAAACGAAGAAGAAGTTATAAAGGCATTACAGTCTGCGAGAAGGATAGGAAAATCGAACGAGGAAGAAAAAAGAAAAATTAAAGCATCCACTGAACGCGATATGGAAAACTGTTTTGGATTCGACGTAAGTTTTCTCTGTTTAAGTGTATTTATCATATCGGTCGTTAATTTGGGAGTCAATATTTAAAATTGAAAATAGTTTACTGAGAAAAAATCTAGTAATCTAAAATTTAATAAATATTGCTTTTGTTTTTTTTACAGGATGACGACGACGAAGAGGAAGATACAGGAGGCAAAGAGTCAATAACGCTTTTAAGCGGTTTGGATTAATAAATAAAGTGTTGGTTCGTTTTAAGCTATTTTAGAGAATGTAATGAAGTAAAATGAACATTGCTCACGTTATTGTTGCATTTTACATTGTAATTTTTAGTGCATGAGTTTGTAAATGTTACATTTTTTGATATGTACAGATGCTGCAGGGACGTTTGTACATAGTAATAAGATATCGTGTAAAGAAGTACATAATTATTTGAAATATTCCATTTTGTTATTTATATTTTGAAAAGTAAATAAAGTAAATTTGAAGTGAAACTTTTAGTTTTTAATTCATTTAATTATAATTTTAAAAGAACTTGAAAGTAAAAATAAGCAGGTAAGTAACAACGATAGTATAAAAAAATCTCTTGCAACATTCGACTAATTTTAACGTTTAAACATGGAACAAAAACAAATAAAAACTCACCAGTGGAAAAGTGCACCTTCAGAAAAGCTCATCCTCGTCCAGACAGCATGAAAGGAGCAGCTCTTCCTTAAAAAATAAAAACGTAGTGTTATAAACTTTATTTTCTTTTATATCCTTTTTTGGATATATTTGAATAATTTTTACAATATATTATAAATGAAGCTCAGAAAATATTATTGACATAAATTATTATTATTTTAATAATGATTGATATGGAGAAAGGCAGTTCTGCACTCTGATCTACCTAAATTAATTCTGATTCATTGCACTAAAGGCAACACATTGAAAATTCCTCCAGGACGAAGTCCATCAGAAAAATTTTAAGGAAATTTCAGTTAGTTATCTTTCTTGTTTAATGTCGAATTTCGAGTAGTAAAGTACTGCTTCACTTTTATGTGAAACAATTTATTAATATATTATTTTATATTCAGTCTTGGGGGCTCTTTTGATTTAGGTCCCTTTAATTTAAGAGGGGTGGTTGCTTCCCCTGAAAATATTCTTTTCCTACTTTCTGTATTCCTCAAACTAGTGATCAATATTAAAAAAAAAGTTAGAAGATTTAATCATCTTTAAAATTTAAACGTTGGGGATAATTATGAAAATTTTAAATTTTCATTAATTTTTCATAATGTGTTGGTTGCCTAGTTTACAGTGTGTTAAAATTTACCGTACCGGTTTTATAAGAGCGGCTAATTTAAGTTATCTGTCAACGTCGCGACGCCCGATGACGTCAGTCCGATTTTAGCACAAGCTGCTGGCGTCGGTTCTAAAGCTAGTTTGCGGTGTCGTGTGATGAAGTGTTCGATGGGAACTTGAAAAACTTCGTTGTCGAACATGAGAATTGTATCAGGTCAGTAAATATGACATGATTTTTTGGCTTTCCAAGAAAAAAAGAATTTGTATGGATGAAAGAGTTTATGTAAAGTTTTTAAAATTAAAAAGCAACCCCTTTACGCATTTGCTTACTTCCTAGATACACAAAATATTAAAATACATTTATCGTATGGTGTGGGATAGCTGTGTTCAAAACTTTGTGATAGTTTGCGAACATATTTGTTCGAAAAATATTACTAATTGTTTAAATGAAAGTAGTGAGACACTTTTGAGAAGTTTTTGTAAGCCAATTTTTAAACAATTAAAAACGTAACTACTCCTACAAAAAATTATTGAAGGGTTGAACGATGTTCCAATGTGTAATGCGCCTATTTATCAGCATCCAAATTTACAAACATCTTTTGTAATCGTTTTGTTTTGCGGTAGACTGTTGCCAAAACGTTTAAATTCAAAAATACTTCGGTACATAATCAGGAGGCGTTTTACAATAATTTTCGTTCACAAATTTATGAAATTTCCATTTCGATTTAAACACTTTTTTTTGCAAATAGTTAAATGGATCTCAAGAGGTCGTTTACAAATCGAACATTGCTTATTACAGTTTTATAAACAGTTACCATTCAACAACTTGCAATATTATATAAATGATTTTTTAAGTTCAAAAAGCTTTAATAATCTTTAAAAACACATGTTTGGAACGTTGCTCAGTAGCAGATGCAATGTAAAAAGATTTAAATGTAAAAAGAAATGAAACAGGAAAAATTAATCCATTCAACAAATGTAATTAAAGGAAGTCCTACAATCGTGGCTGTACCTACAGCTATCCTGAAATTGTTTTTTGTGCATTTGCTATTTATTGTTATAAAATAAAAACTACAATTGAAATCATCAGCTTGCTTTTTTATGAAAATAAAACTTACAATTTTTGCCATTTTCATTCTGACCAATCAACTGTCTCAGTGTAATGTTCCAGTTGAAAAAACTACTGTGTTAGCGAAACAATTATCGTAGTCAGAATAAAAACTGTGAAAATTACGAGTTTTGTTTTATTATTTTCATAAAGGTATGAATTTTCATTAAGTAAATATCGATTACATCGTGTATTACATAAAATATAAACTAAACCAAATAAGCTGATACATCAAGAGCGTGATATATATTCCATAATCTACAAAATAAATTGTAATTTTCTTGGACAATCTCGATCCTTAAACATCTTCTTATGATAGTTTTTAAAGTAATTAAAAATTTGATATAGAAAGTATCATTATTAAGTGATTCAAAAATAACGATTGACTTGTATTGACAGTACCTAAATCAAGGTAGTATTGATGAATCCTATTATTTATTGCGTCTTTATCAAAAAACTGCGATGTTGAATGAAACTCTGAGGAATCTCAATGTTAATCCTTATTTATTAGTTTTGACCTAATTTTGGTGAGATATCTAACCCGTTAGTTAGCAATTGAACTTGGCAGAAATGGACAAATGCATTTATAGAGGTTTTTACTTCGACTTGTAGCAAAGAAACGCATTAATGAGTATATTATTTAATTATTAATTGTCCCAAAATTGGAAACAAAAGTACGGTACTGTAAAATTCCTGAAGAAACAATATATTAATTAATTCAGGTGAAACGTTTAGTATTTATACCTAGCGCTATTAAGAAACGGTTAAAGAGTCTAGGCGTGTGGTGTGCCGATTTATTTCCGAAGGCATGCGATCTAATTTAATCTAATCGTAGGCTTAGTGTTGATTTGTTTGGGTTTATTTGGCTTCTTCGTGGAGAACACAGGGAATAGTACGTAAATTTTTCAGAAGTGAACGAACATTATAAAACATTGCAGCAAAATACTCATGAAAATCCATTTTCGTGTTTTATGTAAATTTTCGTGTGATTGAAATCGTTTCCAAAATGTTCATTTGCTGCATTATCAACATGATAATGATATATTAGCTTCTAATGTCCTATTTTAGTATTTACTGAGGAAGTGCTTAAGAATCTGTAGATAAGGAAAATGCTTATCGAATATGTGCGAAATTCCCTCATTCGACATGAGGAGCTAGTAGCATACAAGAAGTAAAAACAAGAGTTAAGAAGGGGCAAAGGGAGACCTAAATTTGATTCTTGTTCGTAAATAATTTTTGGGAAAGGCGAAGGTTGACTCGAGATAAGAATAAGTAGAGGTGCTAAGTGCCTAACTACTTAGTCTTTTAGAAGAAGAAGTCTTTATGATTATCATCGTTATCGTAAGGTAGTCAGTCCTAAAACTGGTTGGACACATACCTCCACTATTTTCTACCTTGGGCTAACTTTTACATTTCCCTGAAACTATATAGAACATCCCACATTCGTAACTATTTATGAACAGTAATCTAATCTAGGTCTATATATTCACCTCTTAGCTCTGTTTCTCCTTCTAATATATCTCTAATTAACCCTTTATACCCTCTGTTTCTGATTCTTTCTAATACCTCTTCGTTTCTAACAACTTCTATCCACGGTATCCTCATCATTCCCAAGTAACAGACATTTTGAAAGCTTTATATCTCTAACTGCTCCTTCTATCTTCAGTTATCTCACTTCCTAGATACCGAAAATCAACCACATCTAATTTTTAATTTTCTATCTCTATATTCATTCTTTCCCTACTTTTCCTTCTCTTGCACAACAGTATTTTTGTTTTACTTTTATTTATTTTCCTACAATACCGCTTCTATTTTATTTAGGTATATCTTTGACTCCTCCTTACTAAATGCCAATATTGTTATATCGTCTATAAATCTAAGCATATTAATCTTTAACCCTTGTATATCTATCCTTAAAATTGACATACATTTTGTTTTTTTCAAATAGTATTCATTTTGTTTATCGAAGAACGCTCTGTATTTGAATCACTGACGACTTTTAGCCTCACAAAGAAAAGGCGATGGAATGATTCAACTATGACAATTGTTCTTAAGTCCTTTCTAAGTTGATTAAAAAAGAAAAAAAAAAAGAAATTACACAATTGGAATAATTTTCTTAAGTCTAACACTTTAATTAAATTACTTTTAAATTGTATATAGAACTTATGTGGATACCTTACAAAGTGTTCCATTCTACGTCATACATACCATGCTCGAAATAAAAAGTAGCTTTACACAAGTGGCACATGTAAATTGTATCTTCAAAATATTGTTTTTCGTATTTAGAGCGAATTAAAGATTTTTTAGTTTCACAAATAACGTTTTAAATTTATTGCATACACTAATTTAAATGTTCATTTTTCTTCTACTGTAAGATATACTTATCTTCAATTTGGTTGAGATTGCCTTATAGTTTCGTTAAGTTAAAAGCCCCATTTATCTTTGCTTTGGTGCATAATTAATGTAAAATGTACATTTTCAATAACTGTATTAATGTTAAAGAGGAAACAAACTTTAAATAAAATTATTTCAACGCATGTCAGAATTTAAAATAAATTTTTAGCTAACGTGTAATCTGGCGAGTAGTCAAGTTAGTATATTTTATGTTTAAAAATTTTCCTCGTTTATGTCAATTGCATTTGTATTTTTTGTTGTTAATTTATAATTCGAAAATAAGCTTGTAAAAATTTATAGTTTTTTCTGTATGTATTTATCAGTTTCAGAAATTATTTAAAAAAACTATTAAATGTTCTTTAAATTCAATAGACTAATTTTTCTAAAATACATATATCTGTTCAGGGAAATCCCTACTGTTGCAAATTTAATGAAGTAAAAATATTGCAGTTCATTTTGATTGATCTCTAGGGTTCTGCGTTTTTTTAAAAATAACAGAACCTTTAAAAGGTTATTGTCGCACTTATCTTAATTTGAAACCATTACATAAAAACTTAAAAAACCTATATTGATTATTATTATATTTTCTAAATGGGAAATATTCATACGAAAGGTTTTGGTAACAGTAAATTCAAATATATTTTCTTTAATATTGTAGTACCTATTTGAGGAAATTTCTAACAACTATCTCAACAGTCCAGTTCAAATGCCACTCTGGAATTCTAAGCACAAATTCGCTGCTGACTTCATACAGTTAACTTTTCATTAGCAATGCGCGCGCATTTTCCGTTGCATGCTAAAATTTTACTTCTAACTCCTTGAAGGCAATATTAATTAAAAAAAGTTCCACGTTTGCTCCAATTCACGCTCCAACATTGCAGCCCGAATTAAAATTGTAGTACTTATTGCGGTACAATGAACTATTTAGTAAAATACCTACGGAACCTTCGGCATTTTTAGATAATATTATATTGAAATGTTTTGTAGGTGTTAGAGAACTTTCAGCGCCATATTTATTACATTTTAATGCGTTTTTTTTTGTGAATATGAAAGCAACATAAAATTCTTTCAGTGCTAAAACTACTGACTGAAAATTGTGTCAATGCGTGGGCATTTTGTATACACGCATGTGTGCCAGACCTGTCTAATGTTTTAAATTTTAAATCTGGTTTTCATTTTAATGCCCGCCGAACGCTGTTTGAAATAGTGTACATACATGCACGTTCAAAAGAATCTATCGCATATTTACAACTAATAATATTTAACGAACATTATAATTAATAGGTATATCAATCAGTTTATAAACATATTTATTTATTTTTTTAAAGTTAATTTCTGTTGCTATAACAAAAAAAAAGTAACAAATTTGATCAAATTATCTTAAAATAAATGAAGATGGCTTTCACTACAGAACGTGTTAAATTTATATACCAAATGATGAATATATTAAAAGTTAATAAGATGTGATTTAATAAAAAAACGCTTGTTGCCCAAATTATTATTTTTTTTCTCCTTGCAGGAGTTTCCACTCCAGACAAATTGCCTCCGAGATTTCGAGACAATGAACCACAATGTGTTTTTGCTAGAATAAATGATACGACATCTTTATCTGCCGAAATAGTTGAACTAACACCCGAAACTATTATTACTTGGTAAGTATACCTAGTGAGTAAGGAAGACAAAAGAATAGGAGGCGATCTTAGATGTTCGATACCAAGGAAAAGAGCCGCATATTTATTCGCCGTTAAAAGTTTTTTGTCAATAGATTCTATCCAATTGTTTTATTACTTCTGTTATAAATTTGTATTGTTTGATTTTTATTAAATGTAAATTGAATTTTGAGAGTTACACAGTCGGGAATAACCTACATATAGAAGCTGTTGATTTTCGATATTTAGGGAGTCAGATGGGTCATGTTGGAAAATATAAGACAATGACGCAAGATGCGGTCACTTTTAACAGAAAGAAACCATTTTCTTTGCTTGCGGTTACTTACCGTGGAAATTCGAATAAAGATTATTTAAAGTGCGTGTTTGGACTTCGACTTTGTATGGGTGTGAAACATGGTGTTATAGAACGATGTTAAAGGAAGTATCACAAAAAGTAGAATATCGGAGGGCTAGTTAGATACATATTAAAAGCGGAAACAGAAGTTCCGAGGACTAGATTAGATTACTGTTCGCAAACATATTTACGTTTTTGAGATGGGTGGAGTCGAATGTCCAATTGATTATGATCAGAGTCGGCACCCAAAAGCTTGAATCAAATCGTATTGGATGTATACTTAAACACACGAAAGTTACTATTTCTTCTCCTGATGTTGATTCTGAACTACTACTTTTTTATTATGTGTTTGATCTTTGGAAAATGTTTTTAACCCCGATTTTCTTTTACTGATTAACGATGAAAGAATTAAAAAACCCGATATCAGATTATGTGATAGATATAATAAACGAGCGACTTGAAAATCAAAGAACTCCTTGGTTTCAAATCATTTTCACATAAAATGATATCGAATTGATCAAAACAACGCTCTTTGTTATTTGAATTTGATAATCTTAACTCATAGTATAAATATGAATGTGAGTTTGTTTGTCAGCTTTTCACGCCTTAACTACTCAACTCTACTCTACTACTCATCATGAAATTTTGTAGACACATTGTCAGGGATATGGAAAAGGACATAGGGTACCTTTAATCCAGAAAAAATACTTTTTTCGAGGCATAGAAAAATTAGTTTTATGTAGCCGATTTTACGCCTTAATTACTCGATTGATCATCATGAAATTTTGTAGACACATTGTCAGGGATACAAAATAGGACTTAGGGTACTCAATCGATCACGATTAAATTTTGTAGACATATTGTCGGAAATACAAAAAAGGACATAGGGTGCCTTTTATCCAGAAAAAAATATTTTTCTCGAAGAATTAGTTTTATGTGGTCGATTTCACGCCTCAACTACTCAATCAATCATCATGAAATTTTGTAGACACATTGTCGGTGATACAAAGAAAGGACATAGGGTACTTTTCATCCAGAAAAAAATACTTTTCTCGAGGGATAGAAGAATTAGTTTCATGTGGTCGATTTCACGCCTTAATTACTCGATTGATCATCATAAAATTTTGTAGACACATTGTCAGGGATACAGAAAAAAGAACAGAGGGTACCTTTTATCCAGGAAAAAAATCTTTTCTCGAGGGATAGAAGAATTAGTTTTATGTGGTCGATTTCACGCCTCAGCTACTCAGTCGATCATCACGAAATTTTGTAGTCACGTTGTTAGGTATACAGAAGAGGACATAGAGTACCTTTTATCCAGACGAAATATTGTTCCTGAGGGACAGAAAATTTAGATTTATGCGGTCGTCAATGATTTTTGACACGTATTTAGGACATCAACGCGAGCGAAACCGCGGGTAAATTATAAGTAGTAATTCAATAAATGCATGTGAACGCCAAAGAATAGACTCCAAAATTTAAGGCGAAGTCATCTCATATTTACGCAAACTTCGAAGAAATTTAAAATCAGTAGACCTACTAAAAGCCATTAATATAAAAATCACTTGAAAAAGAAAAGAATCAACCCTAAAGTTTACAAATTGACACTTACTACGCGGAAGGCTAAGTCACGGCGGTGAAACCTAACTTTTGGCATTGGTTTGTTTATATTCAAGTGGTTATAATAATTATTAGTTACACATTTAATAAGATGGCGTTGTTTCTCATTAGTTTAATATCATTTAATGTGAAGTATAATTAGAAACTAAGGGGTTATTTGATTTTGAAATCGCTCATTTATTCTATCTCTGTTTGCCTATTATGCCTTTGTGTATGGAAGTTGATTTCGGCTTTCACGGTTGTCGTTTGGAGAAAACGGTTTTGCGGATTATAAGTGTGTTTTATTAATTAAATTTCCATGTTGCTGAACAGCGCTGGTCTCTCCTCTTTCCTGGAGATACTGCATCGATAACGTGAAGTTCCTGTAAATAGAAGACGAAATATCCAATTTCTTTATGCTATTGCAATTTCAAATAGTGAGTTACTTGAAGGGGTAAACTCTGGTCTCTCTTCGAATAACTCAGGAAAATCAGTCGTAAAAAAGTATGTTAATGTACAGCCTGGTATTTATAGTCCATATCGACCAAGCAGCAGAAAGCAACAATAACAATGATCTATAAATAAAAAGGATTCTATTTATGTGACACTTATTTTTAGAATATAGAATGAAATCATATTTTAAAGAAGAAAGCTTCAAAAATTCATACACTATTATCTAATGGTTTGCGTGTAATTCATGCAGTGCATTGGGTCCTTCTTTTTGGTCAAAAAGATACAGGTGTTCTCAACAACAAAGTCAGTTGGAGACTATAGCTCGAATTCACTACATTACATTTAATTTTAATAATTTTAAAATTCGCATATTTATATGTACTGCACATTTTTTAAATAAAAGTAGGTTAGCAGTGGCGTAACAATAGGGTGGCAGAATGGGCAAAATGCGACGGGCCCCCTGTCTGAGAGGGCCTCTTGCCTGAGAGGTCGTCAGAACAGGAGGCATGTAACATTTATTACAAATCCTTTAAAAATATTAATTTCGTATTTAATCACTTTAATTTAGAAAAGAAAAAGTAGGGAAAGAGCGAATTTAGAAATAGGAGACAAAAAATTAGAAGAAATAGTTGATTTTAGGTATCTAGAAAGTCAGATAAATCAGGACGGAAGGAGTAGTAGGGATATACAACAGAGGATCGCGCAGGGTCGTGTCGCCTTCAATAAAAAGAAGTCACTTCTATGCTCGCGAAAATTAGATAATTTAGAAATTCGAAAAATATTGTTAAAGGTGTATGTTTGGAGCGCGGTGCGGTACGTTCGAAATGTGGTGTTACAAGCGAATTATGAGGATACCGTAGGTAGAGAAGATTAGAAATGAAGAAATATTAGAAAGAATATGAGAACAGAGGACTCCATGGAAGTCAAAAAGAAATACGCGAGATAGGTTGGTAGGAAACCTTCTCAGGCATGAAGGTCTAGTCAGGGTCATATTAGAGGCAGAAACAGGAGTTAAAGGAGTAGAGGTAGACCTAGATTACATTACTGTTAAGGATGTGGGTTGTTATAGTTTTAGGGAAATGCGAAGATCAGTTCAGGATAGGAAGGTGTGGAGGTGCGTGTCCATCCAGGCTTAGGACTAACGACCTTATGATGATGGTTAACTCAAGAACATGCACAAATTATGCAAATACATTATCAAGATTTAAACACATTCATAAGAAAAAGATATCTCTTAGTTTTAAAACGTATTCATTGCGCTGAATTCATTTTCGCCGACACATGTTTGGTGGCGCGGGCTAGTAATCCTAGGGAAATCCCCGCTATTTTATTTTGAAAGACGTTCATGCGCTACGTTAGCGTCAAATGAATACTAACTTTTTACCAAATTAATTGTGATTTCAAGAAAACTTGGTAAATATATAAGTACATATTTACTTTGTGATTTATGAAGATGACTCGAGAAGCGTTTTTATATTAACTGAGGGTCTCATTCGGTGAATTTGTCATAGGCCTCAGGTCTAGTTACGCCGCTGTAGGTCAGGAAGGAAACCTGTCTCTAGTTGTCTATTAATAGTACTTTTTGTTTTCATTGGACATATCTATTGGCTGTGCCGGCTAAGTTGGAGAAAATCACAAGATTAATTCAATATGAACCGAATAATAAGTTGTATGATGACGTTTGCGGCGGAGTTCAAAAATAATTTAAGGACGAGCTGCGCCGTAACGTTTGAACGAACGAAAAGCGTTTTTCTCCCACAGTAGAGTCGTTCGGTTGGCCCACGATATCGCGTCACAATTTCCCGAGAAAAACGCCGTTTACAATTTTCCGCAATTTTCGGGCAAGTTCATTAATAACTACCCCACAAAAACTTTTCGTTTTCATTAACAGAAACCCTCTTCTACTTATCGTTAGACTTGTGCGCGTGCAGTTCTTTTTTTGTTCTCGCTTTACGTCAAGTTCTAGGCCCTAGGTCAAGGAATTTTGAAAGGTCTTTTTATTTGTAACAACATCATTTGTTTGCAGATTTTGTTTTATTAATTAATTAATTAACTACGATCTATTATTTAAATGTTTTGCTTGAAATTGTCCTTTTCTTTATTGCAATTATTGTGTGCCAACAATCCTTTTTGTTTTGGTTTTGTCCTATGAGGCGCCGTCTACTGGTTGATTTATTATTTTACTTTTCAAATATCAAGGTTCATTTATAAATCATCGTTATCATTAAATAACAAACTGTTATGTTTGTGTAGCAACTTCAAAAAACTGAAAAAAGAGACATTGTTTATAACCTCAAGGAATTGGCAGATTTTAGGATCAGTTTAATAATCATTTTACAATAACTATCTATTATTTAAATCTATCTTTCAGATGTCTTATATTTTGTAATTGCTTGGGGACATATCAAACTAATTGATCATATCAGTAAACCTCTCACTTGATTTTTGGCTACATTACAATATCGGAAAAATTTGGCAGAAATAAACAATAGAAAAAAATCAATCTCTCCTTTCAAAAACTGAAGAAACAAACATGTTTGGATTTTATTTTTGAGCTATTTAATAATGCCTATTTTAAAATGCTTTACTAATTCTT